ATGTACATGGTTGTATTTTACATGATCACGTTAATACAACCATGTACATAATCACATTAGTATTAAACATTACTTTAATACAACCATATACATGATCACTTTGTTACACACTACTTTTAATACAACCATGTACATGATCACATTACTTTCATGGTTGTATTAAAAGTAATGTGTAACAAAGTGATCATGAACATGGTTGTATTAACGTGATCATGTACATGGTTGTATTAACTTGATCATGTACATGGTTGTATTAAAGTAATGTTTAATACTAATGTGATTATGTACACGGTTGTATTAACGTGATCGTGTACACGGTTGTATTAATGTGATCGTGTACACGGTTGTATTAACGTGATCATGTACACGGTTGTATTAAAGTAATGTTTAATACTAAAGTGATTATGAACATGGTTGTATTAAAAGTAATGTGATCATGTACATGGTTGTATTAAAAGTAATGTGTAACAAAGTGATCATGTAACAATTTAGCAAACTGTTTAAATAAAACATTTTTTCTTTTCCAGCGTGTGTCTGTTGGGGGAGTATGTCAACAGTGTGGGGGATTTCGTTACCTTCCATGCCCTCTATGTGGGGGTAGCAAGAAATCAGCAAATCACAGGCATCACTTTAACATCGGTTATGTCGCTCTTCGATGTATGAACTGTGATGAAAGTGGCCTTATTAGATGTGATCACTGTCTCCATGGTGATGGATGAACCATACTGTATGATGATAATCAGTCTTTAGATCAAATAACACCGATCTTCGATCGATAATTGACAAATCGAATCAGAAATGTTAGCTTTATAAACCCAGTAATTATAATTAAGTTTTCAGTAAATATGTAAAATGTGCACATACTGTACAGAGAGTTTATTAACCTTTTCTCAATAACCGTTTGTAGAGATGTATTTCTTTACCACTAATCTCCTTGTTGAAACTCGTGTAACACCATCCAGGAGTTTTGTAAATAGTTAACAAATAAAGCTTGGTGTTATAAAATACTATTCTCTGCTGCCTTAAAGTGACCATCTCAAACTCCTCGGCTCATAACAGTATTTATCAAAATCGTCTAATATCCACAAAAAAGGATTTTTATACAAAAACTTCTTGTATGAATTGTGACTTCGAAAACATAACTTATAAATGTAAGTCCAGTATTTTATATCAGGTATTACTTTTTAAACACTCGCCATTTCTAAAGGTATGACATACAGGTCAAGTGTAAGCCGAAGTCTGGTAGGACGCGTAATTCAGGTCAATGTCAGGATCTGTGAAGGTACAAGTAAGGTTTTGAATAGGTAGAAATCAGAGACAAGGTTAGTAGACAGCAAATTTATTGATTCTTAGAGCTAGAGCATTCTGTACACAAAGACAACATTCTGAACCAGAGGTCAGCTGACCTTACATAAGGATTGGCACTGATTACCACTGGAAGCCTCAGGTCAACAAAGTGACCTCACACCACAACCTAGAAGTTGGGTGAACCATCACAAGTCACTTTTATTCAGTAGCTTAAATATTGCTCCATTTGTACATAGAGGAAATCAGTCTCAGTTTTAACATCAGTAAGGTCGATACTACCCTCTCATATTCTACTGGCCTTTCCGGAGTGCTGTACAGTCTCGTTACTCAGGGCTTTCCTTGAGACTTCAACCACTCAACGAGTTCATCCAACAGAACTGGCCCTGAAATAATATGATATATATACACAAATACAATAACATTAGTAATATATACAATATAACCACTATCAACACAAAACATGAACAAACAAGGCAACCTACAAACCTCAGACTAATACAATAACATTAGTAATATATACAATATAACCACTATCAACACAAAACATGAACAAACAAGGTAACCTATAAACCTCAGACTAATACAATAACATTAGTAATATATACAATATAACCACTATCAACACAAAACATGAACAAACCTCAGACAAATACAATAATCAGATAAAAGCAATGTAGAATCTGAGATAACTTTAATGCAAACAATAAATATTTATTGTCTCACTAGAACATTCAATTCCTTTATAATTTATTCACATCAAGTTTATTTGAATCTCTAGTCAATCAGTTTAATATTAAGTTTCTACTGTGTTAATATAACACTCAGTCCTTAGTGTTGTTGAGAAACAACCGACACTGATCATAGCCAAACCAATATATTTAAATCTCTAGTTTATCAGTTTAATATTAAGTTTCTACTGTGTTAATATAACACTTAGTTCTGAATTTAGTTGAGAAACAACCGACACTGATCATAGCCAAACTAATATATTTAAATCTCTAGTTTATCAATTTAATATTAAGTTCCTACTGTGTTAATATAACACTCAGTCCTTAGTGTTGTTGAGAAACAACCGACACTGATCATAGCCAAACCAATATATTTAAATCTAGTTTATCAGTTTAATATTAAGTTTCTACTGTGTTAATATAACACTCAGTCCTTAGTGTTGATGAGAAACAACCGAC